GTTGGTGCACTCCGTTATGTCATCGCTCCCAATAAGCGACCACATGATCGGCTGTTCAAACAAAGCAGCTATGGTCTGAAGGCACTCATCTTCCAAGGCGCACCGGGCAACTTCGACTATCCTGTATGTCCTGTTGACATCTGCTGGGTCGGCGGGCTGGGGTTGCGTCACCCTCGCCCTCGCTTCAGCTAAACGTTGTTCGTCCTCCCGCTCTGAGCCTGACATGCGCAGCTGCTTGTGAAGCAGCGTCGTCAAGGGGTGAAGCACCAACCTCATGATTACAAGATCTTTTGCAGGACTACACGTGACCCAAGCAAGCCCGATTCGGCGATCTTTAGCGTTCACCTCAGCCCACTTGGCAGCATCAACGTTGGTAGTGCGAGGGTCGCTTTTGTCCTGTCGAGGCTCAGCGGTCGGCTCTGCCTCTGGGGCGGGCCCTGCAGCACCTCCATCGCCATCCTCTTCGTCATCAGCCGCATCCGCATCATCAAAGTTGCCGTCAACAAAGGGCAAGAAGCGGTACGCCATCTAGTCGGGGCCGTCGACGAATCTGAGTACCCTGCGCGCGAGCCCACCGCGAGTAGGCCGCGCTAAGGAGGCCGTGACACAACTCCAAGCCCCCGAACTCGTCAACCGCATCGCCGCTTCCTGTCCACCGATGGCGAGGGAAACTTGTGAAGGCCTTGGATGTGAAACAAAATGCCATGCCCTCTGCCACCCACGACTTGATCTTGGCCAGCTTTGCATCCGTCAGATCGCCTGGCGGCATGTCGAGATATCCGCCACCGTGCCTCCTGGCACGTTGAGGCGTGTCCGAATGCCAAGCGCTGGCATGGTAGGGGGCAGGGTGGCTGATAGACTTCTAGGGAGCACCCCCCCCCCTCGGACACCACTGATCTGCGTTCGCTCCCCCTCTTTGGTTCGCGCCCCCGAGGCCACAATCCCTCGTGCAATGCGACAGACTCGCATTCCCGAAGCCAAGTGGGCCCGAAGATTGCCCAGGATGGCTTCAAGATGGCCCAGTTCGGCTTCAAGACGGCGGGGGATGATCTCAAGATGGCCCAAGCAGTCTTCAAGATTTCCCAAGAGACCTCAAAGAGGGCCTAACATGGCCCCAGGACGGCCGCCAAGAGGCCCCGAGGAGGCTAAACACATTGATTTGCATTTGTTTTTGAACGTGTTCAAGGTTCTCGCATTTTCGGACCAAGAACGGCCCAAGACGGCTCCTAGATCGCTCCCAGGCGGCCCAAGAGGCACCAAAGAGGTCCCCAAGACAACCCAAGAGGGGCCCCAGACGGCCCAAGTGGGCCCCAGCACGGCCCAAGAGGGGCCCCAGACTGCCCAAGAGAGCCCCAAGACCCCCAAGAGGGCCCCAAGACAGCCCCAAGAGACCCCCAGGAGAGCCCAAAGAGGGCCCCAAGATAGGCCCGAGTCGGCCCAAGACGCCCGAGACGGCCCAAGAGAGTCGCAAGACGGCCCAAGATGGGCCCAAGACGGCCCCAGAGGCCGTCAAGAGGACCCCCAAGAGGATCAAGGCGGCCAAAGACAGCCCCAAGACGATCAAAAATAGCTTCAAGTAGGCTGAATAAGGTTCAAGATGGATGGGTGCCAAGCGGGCCCAAGAGTCCCCAATGGGGCCTGCGCCGGCATTGTTTATTGGAAGAGGTGTACCATGTGACGCTCCATGCGTCACATGGGACACATGTGCCTCTGCCGCCCCATTTGGGCTGCCACCCATGTGTCCACATGGCGGCAGCCATATCGGGATACATGAGTGGGAGCCCGCATGGACGCATGGGGGGGGAATCCGAATGTGGACACATGGGTGGCGAACCAACCTTGGACACAAGGGTGGTCGCCTCGCCATCGCCATCACCACCACCCAGCCTCAAGTTAGGACATCCGTGCCCCCTCGCGCACCGACCACAGAAGCAGCTTGGCTGGCACGGTGGCGGGACGTGCCGCAGGCAGCTGGATATTTCAACATTTCTCGTGTTCTGCCAGTCGCCATTTGCAAACTTGTTCATACCGACAAACCTCTTGATCAAGTTGAGCCCACTCCTGCAAAACAATGACAGCGCCATCTTCCGATGAACGACGCAGTGGCGAGGTGGTAAACCACACTTCACGTCAATCCTCTCGAGGATTAAGTTCTTGAGCACGATCCTGAACGACGACATCCTGCCAGCAAACCTCAACGACAATGCGCAATGAACCATGCCAGATACTACGTCCTCCATCATCGCGAATGTGGACTTGTGGCACGTCGACGTGACGTGGATACCACAGAAGACGTGGAGGTGCTGCCAACCCTGCCGATCCTTTTGCATGACACCCCTCTCACATTTTATATTGGCTGACCCTTTGTCTGTGCAAACAATGCGAGAACGCTGAGCAAACTTGCTATGTGCTAAAGAAAGGCCCCATACCCGACGTAGTGCTGCCCGCGTAACTTCCCCCGTTGACCTGTCCATTGCAAGCAAGTTGTTAACGGTATCCCCAGAAATAATCATATACTTCGTAATGCCTTCAACCTCTCTTGAAACCAACATTGAATACGATGGCTGAATTTGCAGAAGCTTTGCGATGGCTGACTCGCTGTGTGCGTCCGCCAAGTACTTCGGCAAACGTTCTTGAATGACTGCGTCGCCCACGACCGCACCAGGAGCAAAGACCCCGAGAAACTCTAGCAAGTTGAATGCATCATCAGAGAGGCACGCGTCCTTGAGGTGCACGGGCATGGGCGTCTCGTCGTAAAACTCTGCCTCGACGTAGTGGAGGCAATTGATCGACTCGTTGCTTGCGAGCGCCTTTTCCAGACTGGCTCTGGAAATGCGGTCGGCCTGCAAGGTGCACTCCGCAAGCTTGGACATGTGTGAACGGGCAGCCGACGGGCTGCATCCAAGCGACTCTGCGATCGACGCCAAACTCTTGACGTGGTGGTCGGCGCACGTGAAATTAAACTTGGTGGCAGCAAGTTTGGCAACAAGATTGTCCCCGCTGCAAACGTGAACGCCAGCCTTCCCGAAATCTGCCAGCAGGTTCTTGAAAATAGGTCCCAGTGATGGCGAGAACACATATGGCACAACATCTGCAACCATGATGTCTTGCAACACACGGTCGGGGACCCGAGGTATGACGAAACGGGTGCGCTTGGGCGCAGATGGCTGCACCTCCGCGCTGCCTGCTGGCGGCGGCAAGGCTCTGGCAACTCTCGTTGGCGGCCTGCCGCGCTTCTTGGGGGCCGCCGTGGCTGCCGCGGCGCCCGCGGCAGGAGCGGGCGCCACTGGCGCCGGATCCAATGCATCCGCCGCGCGGCCATCTGGGACTGGGCCAGCCGCCAAGGCCAAGCCAGCGCCAGCAACTGGTGATGCGGCCCCGGCGGCGAGGTCCATCGACTCGATGTCAGCCCATTGGTCATGCGGCGGCCCCTCGGCGACAGCAAGTTCTTCCCACTGGTCCACCTCCATGGGCGATGGGGCAACTGAATTGGACAGCAGCGAATGTGCATACGTGGTCCAAAGAACTACGCTGAGCAACATTGTGGTGCTCTCGGCAAAACTGGCTACGGACACTACAACGGCCCCTGAAACCCCGCTTGCTTCAGCACGCCCCCCTCACACAGGCCAGCACCCCTCCTCGAGGGATGTCGGTTGCCCCGCCCAGGAGCTCTGCCCCTCGAGCATTGACAGTGGGAAGTGGGCGAATGGGGGCGATGGTGCTGCAAGCCGATGCGCCGCGAAACGCACGTGCATCCAAGGTTACCGCGATTGCCCTAAAACGCTCCAAATGATTTCCAGGGTGGCCCGAGGTTCCTGAGGGCTGCTCTAAGTAACTCCCATCTTCGACTGGGCAGCCCCCGCGACCTTCTCAACGCACCATCAAGCCATGACGGAGTAAAGCGCCATCGAGAAGATAACAAACCCAAGACCCGCATGGAAACCTACGCGACATGCACCCCCACCTCAAACAGCCACGCAAACCCTCATACTGCTTCGACCACTACATGTTGGCAGCCCTTATCGGGGCCGCGGTTCCAAGAAGCCCCTCCTCTCCAAATGCACCCGAAACCCTGGCCTAAGTGAAAGCGACCGCGCCACTCTGCCGCCGAGGGATAGGTGGTGGCAACCGGAATCGTGAGTGTACTACTAATAGGTAAGTGTGATAACGGTAGCAGTTGCATTTGGTACACTAGTCGTGGTAGTAATAATAGTAGTAGCAGCAGCAAGCAACAACAAGCAACACAAACCATATCACACATAACACCACTGGGCAGCAATCATAACTGCACTGCTAAGAGCCAGTAGCTGCAATATTAGCAGTGGCAATGGTAGTGCTAGTACTAGCAACAGCAGTAGCAGTAACCGCCTCAGGCTGATCCACTCTGCCGCCGAGACACCAACCAACGTGAGGGCGGCCCTGCCTGATGAAGTGGCGCGCGCTGGCGCAGGGTGGAGGGAGGGGGGGGGGGCTATTCGCAGCTGCACGTGGTTACGACGCAAAACTGAAAGACTGCCCAAACCATGCTGGCACACGATCGCACCCCATGCAGCCCCTGGGTGGACTGACGGACAATCAATGATGAGAGGCGCGCCATCGCGCAAGAACGCATCGCCGATGCATCACGGGCGTTAGAGCCACAATTGATGGAAAAAAGCAGGAATGATAATGATGAGCACGTGCGCGAACCATGTTGCAGCATGAGCGCCGACGAGAACGTGGCTGCGATCTTCGCATGTGAGAGAAGCACAACAGTGACGCCACACTGCACTGCGCGTGGCCAAACGGGCGACGCAACGAGCGACAACTGTGAATATCCACCGCATCAGCCCCAAACGAAGCTCAACACTCAACCATCACGACAGCGGCCGAGCGTGACAACGCAAGGCAAGCTGGCGGGCGCCAACAATGCCAACGAAATCGGGCGCCAAGAGGTCGCCTGAACACCGCAGAGCCACTGAAGCTCTGTTCTTGCGACGGCCAGTGCGGGCTGGAAAATGTCAGTCGCTCGCGTCGGGCCTGCAACAAAGAGCAGGCGCCGCGGGCGAGCGTATCAGTCTGCAACGCAGAGCCAGCATCCCGATGCACCTCAATCTGACTCATCTGACCCCTCGTTGCGGAAATTCATCGTCCCCTCGATCGTGTACGTGACCCTGTACTCCACGGAGGATGGCACACCAGGGAAGCCATCGCCGCCGTCTGGGCCAGACATCGCCTCGAACACAAGGCGGGTTGCGGACGTCATCGAGTCCATGGACTGGCACGTGTGCGTCACGACCTTCCTGCGCTTCTCCATCTGGAAGCGCGGCATGTGCACTGGCGCAGTCGACGGAACTGCCTCTGGAACGGCACCGCCCCCCGATGGCGCAACCGACGAAACTGGCTCTGGAGCGGCAGCGGCATCACCGTTTGCAGGCGCCCCTGCAGAAGGTACCTCAGCCGAGGCAGCCTCAGGGTCTTGCGATTCTATCAGGATGGGCAACATCGTGTCGCCGAAGACGTTTCCTAAGTGTAAGCGCTGTTGGGCACATAGGTGTCACTGAGGGGATGGACACATGGATCTGCGAGTCGCAAAAGGACAAGCGGAGACGGGGCTTTTCTCCGAGCCGCGACCTCGCGGGCACACGGTTGAAAGCGCCTAAGCCAAAGTGGCTACGCCACGGGGGCGGGGAGAGATCCAAAGGGACCAGAGGGGGAGAACGCGCCGCGGGCCCTCAAGGGCCTTGGGAAGACAGCGGGACCAATTTTCGTGAATCGAACACCGTCGCCGTTATATATGAGGAACGCCGGGCAAGAGTCGTCGAACGGGCCGCTCTCTTCCTCCTCCTCCCCCTCCTCCTCCTCCCTGCGCTGGCCGGGCAGGCCGCCAGGCCTCGAAGTTGAGCGGGGCGGTATGCGGGTCGGGCGCCGGGCCGTCGCCGCCGCTCCGCCGCCGCTGCCGCTGCTCCTCTCCGCCTCTCCTCCGTGCTCCCCTCTACCGCCTCTGCTCGCCTCTCCCCCCTCCTCCTCCTCCTCTGCCTCCTCAAACCTCACCTTAGCTCCCTCCGTGGTCACCGCCTGAACCTTAGCATGCTCGCTCAAAACCCTCTTCGAAGCTCCCCGGGACCTCGATTTTAACGAGAGATTGAGGGGCCTTTCGTCCACGTGGCCCTCTTCATCGATCAAGCACAAAGTGCCGCGAGTCAGCACGTCGTGCAAGGCAGCATTGCCGCGACTAGGGTCGATCTTAGTCAAAGGATCAGCCGGCATCATGCCGTGAGGGAGCCACCGAACCTTCGATCCGATATTGCTCAACGAATCTCGAATAACCGCCATTTCAATGGCATTGCGACGACCCGCTCTCGATCCGGCGCTGTTCTTGGACAGCGTATCGAATACGCTCTTAGCGTCCACCACGGACAGAGATGAGGCCGAGTCTCCGATCTCGCAATCACGAGCCAGAATCACCGAGAAGGGCCCCTGGGAGGCCATCCAGTCGGGACGCTGAACGCCCCCAAAAACCACATCCCGCCACATGATCTGAAGCCACTGGGCTTCCGCCACAGCTCCAGAGAGTGCCAGAGTCTCAGCTGCGATCGTGCTGGCCACAACTCTCTTGAGCCGCTGGCTACGCCACGACAGCAGGCTCACTCTCGCACGGCGGTTCTCGCGAATGGCACCATCCGCCGCAAACGCGAGCCATCCAGCCTGAGCGCCCCCCCGGCGAGCGGATCCGGGACCTCCTGCGTCAGACGCGGTAACAAACGTAGTAGCAAGGGGATCGAGGGGCCAAATCGCAATGTGCTGGGAGGCTGAGGCACGAAGAAACTTGACTGCCTTATTCGCCATCAGGGCGTCCTCGACTGTCGGCTCAGGCAAAGCGGCCGCCAACAGCGAGGCGCTGCCGCAGACATCTGGGCGCGATTCGCGCGCCAGCCACTGGATCTGGGCCACGGTCGTCCTGTGAGACGAAATTTCCGCGGCAGTCAAGGCGCTCGAGGTCTCCCCTCGGCGATGCTTGTCAAGGGCAATGGGGGTCAATTGCTCACGGACGTATTTCTCCTGATCAACGATTATCTTCGTTCCCTTCTGCTGTATATGCCGCCCCGCATAGTCAGCCTCCCCCTCCTCCCATTTACCGAACTTGAAGCGCTCAAAGAGGCGCTCCTTCAAACGCGAAAGCACCTTAGCATCTCCGGAGACGATCAAATCGTCCACCTCAATGAGCTCAAGGGACTGAAGCCGACCGGAGGCGGACCTTTGCAGCCAGAGACATGGCTCTAGAAGAGAACGCTGGAAACCAATCTCACTAAGATATTCCGCAAGGGTTCTATGCCACAGCAATGGGGCATCATTGAGGCCGTATACCGGCGCCACAAGCTCGATTAGGGTTTCTCCGGGCAGCCCGAGGCCAGAACATGCCTCAACATAAATCGCTCCCCGGGGCCGGACCAACTTATTGCTTTGGCAGAACGCGTTTTTCGCGTCCGCGATTCCCAGGGACCATTCCATGGACGCTATCACCTGGAGCACAAGCATTATCGACTCGGATTGTGGGGTGGGTGCGTACACCTGGAGGGTATCACTGTCGGGGTCCTGGTGCCCCTGGACGCACCACCTGCTCTTCGCGGTGGGAGGGTTGCCGACCCCCTCGGAAGGCTTAAATCTCCTGACCATCCGCGAAGACAAAATACGATCCGGGTGACGCCGTCGCGTCAAGCGCGACTCCTCTAAGCTGAGGACGCGCGCCGCCCCGGAGGCTGTCATGGCCGCCCATTCCTTAGCATCTGACGCCACGAAACGCTCTCTCTCCTCCGGGCTCAGGTTTTTCAACTGGACCTCGGCACCTCGTCGAGGCACGGGCGGACTGGCGAGCCCTGAAAAACAATCCGGCAAATCAAGGAAAAAGGTACCCCCCTTATCGCAAGCGGCAAGAGAGGTGTCGCAAGTGAAACCTCGGGCCAGCAGCTCTTCGCACAACATCCGATCCTGATCGAGATCCTCATCCCCCCCGAGGTCCTCAAATCCCACCAGTCCCAGGACTGGTTCCCCCGTGACCGGATGTGGGTGCCAAGTAGGCTGGGGCCAGTCGCCTTCCCCTGGAGCGTCCGCCCCTCTCTCCCCAGACGGAGGGGGAGACCGGCTCCGACGACTCTCGGCCGTTCTTAAAACCTGAGGCTCCGCCCGAGGTGCGAGCTCCCTGCCGCGGTCCCCGATGACCGAGCCAGAGCCCGCCGTCGCTCGAGAGGAGGAATCTGCGCCGGCGCCCTCGCGCTCGGTCACCATCCTGGCAACTCTTCCCGGGCCGGAAAGAGACTCCGCAGGAGTAAGATATTGGCCAGGCGCACGCACAGGAACCGAGGGCGGTGGAAGTCCCCAACTGGTCCTCACCGCTGCCCTCTCTCTTTCCAGCTCGGCCGTGCCGGAGGAGCTCTTGAACCCCCCCCTTCTCCGGGACGGGGCAGGGGCCCCCTCGGGAGCGCCTTCCGCCGGCCTTCGCGGGAGCCTCGCCGCCGGCTCCTCGGGGGGCTCAGAGTCGGAGTCGACCGCAACGACCTCTGGGGGCTCGGGGCCAGGGACGCGTCGGCCCAAGTCGATGGGCCGGGGAGGCGGGGCCGGAGCATCCAACGCTCGACGCAGGTCCTCGGGCAGGGGCTCATACTCCGAGATCTGCCTGGGGAACGTGGACCCCTACCCGACTCCCCCCCTGCCCCCCCCCCCCTCGACAACAAACCCCCGCCCCCCCCCCACCCCCACCCAAACTCCCACCCCCGCCCACTCCCCCGACCCCTCCCCCCCCCCCGACCCACCCACCCCGGACCACTCCCCCCCCGCCACCCCTCCCCCCACCCACCCCGGACCCCCGCCCCCCCTCCACCCCCCCCCCCCCCACCCCCCCCCCCCCCCCCCCCCCCCCCACCCCACACACCCCCGACCCCCCCACCCCCCCCCCCCCACCCCAACCGCCCCCCCCCCAACCACACCCCCCACCCCCCCACCGAAGCAGGTGCCGCCGGGGCCTCCACTACGGCCGGCGGGGCACCTGGGGCCCTCGCGGGCCTCCGGACCTCGCTTTCCGGAGCGCCCAGGTCGCCTGGGACATCCCAGGCCTCAGGGGGGGAGGACCCTCAGCAGCAACATCCACCGCGCCCACTCGCTTCCCCGGGTTTCTCAACTCCTGCCGAAGTTGGTCAAACCGAGGGTTGTCGAGCAGCTCCGCGCCCAATGCCTCAGGCCGCGTGGCGGGGCGGATCTGCTCGATCGAGCATTTCAGCAGACGGTGGCGCATGGCCACCCACACCGTGCTGCGGGCCTGGAAAACCACGGCCCCGGGGCCCGTCCAGCGGTCTCGCTGCAAGTCGTGACTTCGGTTGGCCGAAGTGATTTTCCTCCAGACGTACACCCATTCCCCCAGCTGGTAGACCTTGTCCACATGTCGGCGTGCCTTAGACGCCTCGGCGAGCCGATCACGGGCATCATGAGCCGCTAGGGCCCGCTGCGCTTCGGACCTCAATTGATGAGCCCGAGCGATAGCTGCTGCCGCCGTGTCTTGGTCCACGGCACTGGCCCGGAGATCCTCGACCCCAACATCATCCACCGCGTCGTCGCTCAGCATGGACCTCGGGACCCGGGGGTGTTCCCCGAAAACCATCTGCGCCGGGCTGTACCCTCCCCGGTGGAAGGTACGGTTCTTGCCTGAGACCACCTCACAAAGCAGCATGTCCACCTCCTGTCGGCTCGTCGGGGTGGCCGACAGAGAGGCCCGAGACACAGCATTCTTCACGATGCCACCGTGGCGCTCGCACTTGCCATTAAAATGGGGTGAATTGGCGGGTATCACCTGCAAGTAGATTCCGTGATGTTCACAGCCTCTCGAGAAGCTCGCTCCGAATTCGGCGCCGCCGTCGGAGAGAATCATCTCAGGAAGGCCGAACGGACGAATCCACCAGCGGGCGAGAGCCGCCCATGCCGTCGCCGAGCGGTCATCCTCTAAAAGACAGCACTGCTGGTAGCTGGTGCCATGGTCCACCATATTGAGAACCGGTAAACTTTCACCCTGGAACTCAAGGTAAAAGAGATCAACTGACAACAACCGGTTGAATCGATACGTTCGGGAAAGATGGGCCTTTCTTCGCCAGTAGGGACGGGAGTGTGAAGCACAGTGAGGGCATTGAAACTTGTGCTTCACCCAGTGAAGAATCTCTGGTCGAGCCCCAGCTATCCGAAAGGTCCAGACGAAGTCATCCAACATAGGATGGCCGAGGTTCACGTGCAGCTTCGAGATTTCTTCCTGGAGGCCCTTGGCCACGTCCTGGGGGTTCCCGGGGGACCGGACCGGCTGGGCAGCCGCCTCTTCGTCTTCGGAAGCCGGGGCACCAGCGCCATCAGCCTCTGGGCCGTCGTCGGGCCGAGCCTCGAGACCTTCGGCGCCAGAGGGGAAGACTGGGGCGCTCAAGCTGGCCTCACGCTGCCACAGCGCTGACTCGAGCCCGTTCGCCAGCGCCGCCACGAGCTTGGAAGGGTAGCGCTGCGCCTTGCGTGTCCTGCTGCCCCCCTCCAGGGGGAGATGCTCGTGCTGCCCAGTGCACCTCCTGCCGCACTCTTCCAGAAAGGCCCCCTGACTGGCCAGGAACCGGGTCGGTTTCTTAGAGAGGGTCCCCGGGGCCACGGAGAGGCCGCATCGGCACTGGTCCAAAACTCGGGAAACCACTCCCGGCGAGGACGCGATCACCTCCACGCACTCCAGTTCCCAAGAGCTGGCCGACTCGGGATGCTCAAGCACGAAGTCTCTCCCGAGGGACATCTGGTAAGCCGCTATCTCGCAGCACAATTGCATGAAGGCGAGACCCTTACGCTCGGTCTCGTCCCTCTCGCTCTGGCCCATGCGGTCCCAATTGCTGGCGAAAGCGACGCTGAAAGCTCGACGCACGGGCGACATCGAGATGCATTGGGGTTGGTCCTTCCTAATCAAGTCCCACAGCCTCTTGATCCCCTCCGGGGTGTCTAAGTCCCAGCCGGTCTCGGAGTCGACGGCGGGAGACACCCGATACCCTCTCTTGGCCAGAAGGGCCGAAACTCGAACGGGGGAGAAAACTTCGAGAAGGGAAGTCCCTCCTCTCCGGGCCTCGGACGAGATGAGCTGACGCCTCCTCCAGGCGTGCTTCTTGTCAACCCCCGAGCCATCTAGGGCCTGAAGGGCTGCCTGACGAACCTTGCGTGGAACTGTGGGGGCCTCCAGCTCTTCCGAAACCCCTGCAAGCCTCAGGGCCACGAACGCGTCGGACTCCACGACGTAGTACCGACCAGCCCCCTTAGCTCCCGGACCACAACTACCGGCCTCCCGAGCGGCCGATCGGGGCACGCTATCCGCTAAGCTGGTGGCATCGTCGCTCCGAGTCCCAAGCCCGCTGAGGCCATCTGAGGCCGCGACCCCTCCGGGCCCGCTCTGAGGCCCAGGCCGACTAAGGCCTGCTGAGACCGTGACTTGCCTCCTCGCTCTCTCCTCATCCTCCTCACGCTCCTCCTGATCCTCCTCCACCCTGGACGTCCAGATCAATCGAGCAGTCCGAAGCCTTTTCCTGGCTAAGTTTCTTACCCAGCTCTCTGTAGCAGACGTGCCGCCACAACGAGTCTAGCAGAACAGAACCTTCGCGGCGGACCCTAATTCTGTGAATGCCAGCCGGCATGAGGCTCCTGGGCGGCCGACCGCCGCTCTTGCCCAGAGCCACTCCGACAAAGAAAGCAAACCGATCCGTCGCTCCGAGAGTCCGAGAATGCCATCCGAGCTCGTCGCTGACATGATCGAGAGAGACCTCTCGAGCCCCGATCCGATCCCAGATGCCCCGAGCGCGTCCCGGGGCAGAGGGCCCGTCACGGACCTGACGATCGCGGACCATCTGGACCGAGAGATCGTGGAGGACCAGATCGCTGATCTCGGACGGGGCGAGCTTGCCGATCGATCGCTTCTGATCTATCTCGGGCCAGTCTCCTAGCGCCGCCCAGGAGCTCCTCAGAGGTGCGGGTTCCCCTCCAGGTCGTGCTCCTCCTGCGGCTCGGCTGCCGCGTGGAGAGCTGCCGCGTCCGCGGCCCTGATCCGGCGCGCCAGGCGCATGATCTCCTCGTCGCTCATCGGGCCCGCCGGGCGCACTGGAACCGTCGCAAGCCCCAGCTGGACTTCGGCGAGTTGCTCTGCCATCACGTGCATCTGGTCGAGCAAGGTCTTCATTTGGTTGGACTGCAATTGCTGTGCCGAGAGAG